GTATTCCACTGTATGTTTGTATCATCATTTAACCATTCATCGGTTGATGGGCTGAAGTTATTTCCATCCTTTTGCTTTTGTAAATAGTGCTGCAATGAACATGGGTGGGCTTATATCTATCTGTTTGTGTTGTGACTCTTTCTCTTGGATACATATGCTTGGTAGTTTTTGACTGGAGTCCTGGTGTGGCACTGTGGGTTAATGTGTTGGACTGTAAAGCCGGTTTGAACCGTAAGGTCAGTGGTTCAAGCTCACTAGCTGCTCTTTGGAAACCCTGTATGGGTTGCTATACGTTAGAGCCGACTCGACAGCACTTAACAACAATGGGATACTAAGGCGCTCTGGTAGCATAGTGGCTATGAGTCAGGTTACTAATCTCATGGTCAGCAGTTCGAACCTACCAGTGGTTCCCTGTGGGAGAGAGATGAAGCTTTCTGCTTCTGTATACATTTATAACCTTTGAAACCTTAAGAGTCGGAACGAACTCTATGGCACGTAACCAACCAATGGAGTACTGTTGTGATGCTACAGGATAAGCTCAAGGTTAGCAGTTCAAACCTACCAGCTACTCCTTGGAAACCCAATATAGGGTCGCTATGAGTTAGAACTAACTTCATGGCACTAATAATAACAAGGTCTAATGGCTAATGGGAATCCTGGTGTGGTGTTGTAAGATAAGCACTATACTGCACAAGGTCAGTAGTTCAAATCCACCAGCCACTCCTCGGAAACCCTATACAAAGTTGCTATAAGTTGGAATTGACTTGATGGCACTTAACAATAATGGCTAATAATTATAAGCATTTCTTCATATTTTTTGTTGATTGAATGAATGTTTTCACTGTTCAAGTGTCTGTTTATGTCTGCTGTCCAGTTTTTAACAGAATTATTTATCTTTCTTTTGAAACTTTATATAAATTTTAGAGTTCAGTCCCTTGTTCTCTGAAATCACATTGCCAAATACTTTTCCCAGTCCCTTTACTCTTTTGGTGAAATCTTTTGAGGCATATAAGTCTTTAATTTTCAGAAGGTCCTAGTCATCTAATGTGTCATTTGCTGCTTGCATTTTACTTATGTTTGATTGTGTATTTATACTCTGAATGTTGTTGTCGTTGTTAGGTACCATCGAGTCAGTACCGACTCATAGCGACCCTACGTACAACAGATTGAAACACTGCCCAGTCCTGGGCTCCCTAAACTTGTCCCTGTTTCTTTAGAGGTCTTTATAGTTTTAGGTTTTACATTTAGGTCTTTGATCCATTTTGAGTTCAATTTTAGAAACAGTATGAGGCATGAGTCCTGCTTCATTTTTCTACAAGTGGATATCAAGTTTTGCCAACACCACTTGCTAGAGAGTATCTCTTCCCATTTAAGGTATTTCAGCACTTTGTCAGAGAGATCAGTGACAAACACAGGTGGCTGGATTTACTTCTGAATTCTCCATTCTGTTTCATTGTTTTATGTCATTGCACTAGGACTGCTCTGGTTTTTACAAATTCCTTTAATTTCAGTTTATCTGGAAATGGCCTCATTCACCATCTTATTTAAGGGACAATTTCCCTGGATATATAATTATTGGTGGGCCCTGGTACGGAGCTGTAGGGTAAGCACTGGATTGCTAACAGTGCTAACTACAAGGTTGACAGTTAAAACCCACCAGCTGCTTTTAGACACCCTATACAGGGTTGCTATGAGTTGGAACCAACTTGACAGCACATAACAACAATATTAACTCTTGATTTGGCAATTTTTTTCTTCAAGGTTTTATAAACGTCATCTCATTGCCTATGTGCCTGCACATTTTCTGTAGATAAATCACAGCATAGTAGTATTGGTTCTTTCTTGTGACTTTTTGCTTTCCCTGAGCTGCTTTCAGGATTATTTTTGTCCCTGCTTTTCAAAATTTGACTATAGTATTTATGTCTTGATTATTTTATTTTGGGGTCAATCCTATTACGAATTCATTTAGTTTCTTGAATGTGTATATTCTTTTATGATATCACAGATGTTTTCTTCAAATAACTCTGAAGACAACTTTCTCTATGCTTTATTTAGTCTCACATTGTTCTGGAATTCTGATCACATGTAAGTTATTCCTCTTGTTGTGTCTCATAATTCTTAGGCTTTCATCATTATTTTCCATTCTTTTTTCTGTTTCTCTAGCAGATTAGTTTTGAGAGATTTGTCTTCCATTGGGCTAATTCTGACTTCCATTCATTCAGTTCTACTTCTTTGCCCTTCCAATAAGATTATTATCTATTTATGAAATCTTAGTACTAACATTCTAGATTTTTTAGTGCTGTTTTTGTATTGTTTCTAATTTTCCATTTATTTTATCAGTTTGTTCTTGTACTTTTCTGATTTCTTCTAGATACTGGTCTGTTGTTTCCCTTGCTGTCCCTCCCAGTGCACTGAAGGTGCCTAAATATCATCTCTTTGAGTTCCTTATCAGGTAATTCTGACACCATTTCTTCCTCTGTTAAGTTTTCCTGTCTCTATTTTGGTCACTTGTTTGAAGCACCTTATCTTGTTTCTATTTGTGAACTGAGGTTGTATGTTGTCTCCCAGATACTGTGGTGTTATTGTATTTGTAATTTATTTTAAGACTGTATGTTGTGTTTCTTCCACTTTTTGCTTTATTTTCATATATCCAAGTTAGTGGGCTGAGGGTGCTAGTTTGGCAGTACCTAGGTACTTACACCTCCTATCTTCTGGTGGGTGTGACAGAGGATGGAGGTTAAGTGTGCAGTTCTGTATTCACTGTTCATGTAGAACAGTTGAGGACGATCTGGTGCTGGACATTATGTGCCAATCAAGTAGTACAGATATAGGTGGTAGGACACATCAGTGAGTGGGGTGGCAGGAGGTGCATGTGTGGCTGGGTTGCTTTCTCCCACCAGGTGAGACAGATTTGGGCGCGGGGGGGGGGGGGGGGGGGGGGGGGCGGGAGCACAGAACAAAAACAGATACAAATTCAAAATGGCCATGCTGACCAAAGGCAGTTGACAATTTACCACTTAGTAGTCTCCTTGTTCAGTTACTTCTTCTAATTGGTATTTGATCTATTATTTTATCCTTTCCTTTATAGCTCAGGGTTCCAGGATTATTATCAATACCGGTATCATTGGTTTTTTGGATCTTTGTTGTAGAGAGTCTGGGTAGCATAGCATGTCTGCCTAGTTCACCATCTTATCAGAAGTCCTACTAAATTTTTTAGACTGTGTAAATTTACTTACCTTGATTATATGGGATTTCCTCCTAATATAGTTCCCTACATTCCTCACTATCCAGAGTTCTAATCTCAGTTTTGGCAGTAACAAACAAGCTATGTGTTCTTGGCTAAGTCACTTTGTAGTCTCAGTTTCTTTAACAATTTATAATCTCATATGGGGAAACAATGAAAACTGTGACCCCAAAAGAAAGATAGCTCCAGGCATATCAAGAATTACTCTTCAGGACTACAACTGTTAAATGGATTCAGGGTTAGACTATGGTAAGGATAGTGCTATAGACAGATGCTCAATACAGTTATTAATTGCTTTGTAAGAGAGACTAAATCACAATGAAGAGAAGTAATGATGAAGAGCAACAGGCACTGGATTAAGTAGTCAGGGTCTAATCTGAGTTCTCCACAACAATCCTTGGTAAACTACTTTTTAGTCTAGAAGAGCCTACTTTGTTGTTATGAGACTAGATATATACCTAATATATCTTCCAATCAAAAAAATTCTATGGATAGATGAAAAAATTCCCTACAAATGTAATGTCTATGATCAGTACAGCTCAGAACCACCTTCTGTTTCCCCTGAAAATTAACTAAGTCATCTCTATGGTATCTGCATTCACTAGACTGGTGGCACTCTCAAACTTTCATGTTCATCTGAGTCACCTGAGGATGTTGCTAACATGAAGATTTTGATTCTGTAAACTAAAGAGGCCTAGTGGCACCATGGTTACGTGCTTGGCTGCTAACTACAAGGCCAGTGGTTCAAACCCATAGGCTACTCCATCAGAGAAAAGACCGGATGCTCTGCTCCTATAATGACGACAGTCTAAGAAACCCTATGGGAAGTTCTACTCAACTAGTTACCAAGGGTCTTTATGAGTCCCGAACAGACTCCATTGCACACAAGAAAATAAGTACCATGTTTGTAGTGGGTAGGACAGAGATTATGCAAATCTCACAAATTCCTAAGTAATGCTGATGTTGCTGGTCTACCAACATGACAACAGATGATTATAATCCTGTTTTAAAAGATACGTTGTACAAGCCATGAGGGAAATGAAGTGGCTTCAGTAGCTAACCACCCCTACCCAAAGAGGTCTCGGAAGTAGCAGCCCATTTGCTCCTTTACACTTTGAATACTTGTGCTACCTTGATGCTGACACTGCAACTATTTGCTAGGAGTCAGAAAGTTGAGAAGCTGTTTTAAATGCTATTTAATTTGTACCTTTTGATTTCATCCCCCATTTTCTTTTTACTGTCCATCAATTTTGGTCTAAATTTGCTTCTTGGGATTCAAGAACTGGGAAGGCAAATGCATGCCTGCGAGTATAGGTTGTTGTTGAAGAATAAAAATTCAAGATAGAAGACTCTTATCATTATTAAGAGCCAGCAAAAAATTCAGGATGGAAACTAAAATTTAGCGAAAGAGAAATATTAGTGGTTAAGAAGCAGAAGAATTCTCTTATACTTTTTTTTTTTTTTAAAAAAAGAGAAAATTTCAGGTTATTAAAACAAAAAAGAAATAGCTATTTGTTTTCATTCTCTACCTAGCACAAAATAATGAAAAGAATTACCATTTTAAACTGTACTGTCTCTAAAGTTCCCAGCTCTGGAAAAGTCATTCAGAGAAAGTAATACCATATTTTATGCAATATGAAAACTCAGGAAAATAATAAAACTGAATATAGTAGGACAGAAAGTATACTTGTTGTTTTTAGCTGCCATCAGTTAGTATCTACTATTTACTTGAAGAACTTTATAAAATTTAATTTACCTCTGATAAAGCTGAAGAAAAGTGATTGCAGTTTTTATGCATCAAATGATATGCATTGCCTTTGTATTCCTTTCCCAGTTCTTCTACAATTTTTTCTATATCATCTTCTAGGAAGTCCGTGCTCCCTAAAACAACAGCTTCTCTTAAAAACAAAACAAACAACATAGGTATGTGAGATTTGGGTATTTATAAGCATGTTAAAAGACCTACTTATTTCTAAGAATATTATGATTGATGCAACAGAGCAGGGTTAATGTACTAAAATGAAAAACAAAAAGTAAAAGAGATACTTTTTCATTTCATTTAGTTTGTACTTTTGTGGGGTGAACAGAGAGCAGCTTTTAAGTATACTATTTGTAATATCACAGTTATTTTTACAGCTACTATTATATTATATAAGCAGATCTATACAACAAATATTCCTGCTCAATTTTATCCTGACCATCAAAGGGATGACCACTCTCACTTAAATACATTTAAGTTATCTGCTACAGGGATATGGAATTGTCAAAATTGATTTTTTTATAGCATTATCAAAAAACAAAGGCAAAACTGTCTTGGAAATGCAATGGAGATTACTCACTAGAAAGTGGAATTTTATATAATTTGAATAATCTAACGATAGATACAAGTTAGGTAATTCAAAATAATGAAATACTTAGAAAATCCTTTTCTCTAGTAGTATGACAGTATTCCACTGTGCAGATTTTTCAATTCAGTGGTAAGCTAAGAAAACCAGGAGTTAAAATGCTAAATATATATAGAATAGCCCTCTACTGAATTCAACTGTGTAACTGCATCTCACTATTAGTTTTCACATGGCAAGTTTTTAACTATTATAAGCTGCTCTACATTTCTTCAAAGTTTGTTGAAACTAAGTTTGTAAATATTCATTTAAATTCAAATTGTAATTAAGGAAATATGATTATCGATATTCATATTTAAACTGCTTTATACTGATAAGGTTCTAGGCTATATTCATATCCACGCATTTTAGGCTTCCCATAGTTGTGCCTTAACAACAGTCTCTAGGCTAATCAACAACTGATTTCAAATGTATTACCAGTGTCCCTTTCATTAGGAAAATAAAGAGATTTTCAATAGTGGCAGGCTGTAATAATCTGTCCTCCTTCTCGTCCCAAACAGAAGATTTGGAAGAGGGAAGAAATCATGCGATACAAAGAAGACATGTATTAAATAAAGGTGAAACATTTTAAAAGCAAACAGAATAATTTATAACTTACATTGGTCTTGAATGAAAGCAACAGACTAAGAGGTTATTTCATTCACTTTATTTGCTGATTTCCATCTTAACACATGACTTAGAAACATGTAATATAGCATCAGGAACTAAAACAGAATTTAAGTATTCCAACTTCTAAGATTTTAAACTACAGAATGAATTCTGTATGCCTGAAAGTAAGTGTTGGCATTTAAGACAGTAAAATAGAAATTTTCCTCCCTACTTACTTAAATTTAAATGTTTCTCCTAGTTCAGAAGCATTTCCTGGGGAAATTTCAAATATTCCAGAAAAAGGGTAAGGATGGCCACCATAAGCAAATTCTGAAAAGAGAAAACTCATGATTTTTAGTATGTGTCACATAAAATTTCAACACAATGCTATATTAGCTTTACTAAATGAGGATAATGTTACCTAAATATTTTGTAGTTAATAAAAATGTGTTCACAAACATCTCATTTAACTATATTCTAGTAGCAAACAGTTCATGCAAAAGACCTGAAACCCAGATACTGAAAAGATACTCAAAGGTAATCTTGACTGCTATGTTCTCTGTTTATATTGGTTATATTATAAAGAAGATTGACTCAAACTCGTGAATGCAGTCTCTCTGCATAACTACAACAAATTAAGTAGGTGATCCTTTTACCACTTTTTAAATTAAAGTGAATTACAAACTCATACTTTATTGGAAAAAGTATTTAATAGCAGTTGAGTTCCTGGGATGAAAACTCTTGGATTATCTTTGAATAGGGGTAAATCATTAGCAAACTGAATTCAACTCCCCTCATTTTAGAAAAACTGAGGTGTAAATGAACATACTCATACACCACACCCCAGTAAATCTTCCAGCTAGGAGGGTACCATTTGTAAGCCTTTATTATGACAAGCATTTCTAAGGTTCAGTGAAGTTATGTCCAAACTCATCAGACACAAACTCTCATACAGAACAAAAACAGAATGCTTCCCCAAATCAGGAAGGAAAGAAAATTCTGGCTACAACCAGTATCTCACCTAGATATACATAAATGGTTAAGCATTACTGGGGGGAGTAGGGTGACTCTGTAGGATAAGAACTGGCCTGCAAACCACAAGGTCAGCAGTTTGAACCCATCGGCTACTCCACAGGAAAAAGATGAGGTTTTCTGCTCCCACAAAGATTTAAAGCCTTGGAAACACTATACATGGTCGCTATGAGTAGGAGGAACTCACTTAATGGCATTTAACAACAAGTATTACTGGACATTTAAAAAGAATTCAAACATGTGGTTAAGTTAGTCTTACCACTTAGGATTTATTAACCACAATATAAAACATTTAAAAGACTATGGCAAATACTAAGTTTACTTTTGATTCTGACCTCTAAGAAAAATGAAGTAGATAGAAAAGTTAAAAGACTACATGATTTTTTAATCCTTTAAATTTTATTAATCAAAAGGCAGTGTCTAGCATTCCATTTGGAAATAAAAAGTTTTAGCTTTTTTTGATGAAAAGATTCTATAAAATATTGCAGATGAGCAAGCTGGATACAAGAAGATTGTATTTTAAAACTTTTCCAGTTATTGCAATAAAAATCATAGAGCTATTTATTCTTTTACTTAAGAAACATTCACTTTGAAGAATAAATTTGGTTCTAGTTTTGCTAAGTTTATAGGGATGTATAAGCAATCTGGCTTTCTGTAGGTTTGAGCCTTGGTTTCTTCAATTGAAAAATGGAAGAAATGCCACAGGCTCTTGTCTACCTCATAGCATGACTGTGTGGTTCAAAACTTTAACAACCGTTAACAGCATATAAATTCAAATTCAAAAGGAATACACAAAGAACATGGGCAAAAGTCTAATCACACAAGAAAGGAAACCCACACACAAAAATCCTACTCATAGCAAAACTCCAACCACTGAAACGTTCAGAAAGAGTCCCTTAGTGCTTCTTGGGATTTGATTACTTGGAGGATGTAATGGAGCTTAACAATTAATCTGCTGAATTGTACCTAACAGCTGCTAATGTGGAAAATAAAAAAAGGATTATTATAGACACCATGTAAATGGACTGTCTAGCTAAAGTAAAAAGAAACATTTATTTTATGCTATGAGGGAGTTTATGACTCAAAATTATTACACAACTCACAATATATTACCCTAACCGTAACAGCAATGTGACTGGTCCTACAGAAACAGACTGATTACAACTTGGTCAGGACTAGATTTTCTTGCACTAAATGTGAGAACCAGTGCAAACAAGAAAGCTGCTGAATTGAAAACTAGCTGCCTTGGTTTGAGTTACCTGTGTCTTGTTTAAAAATGAAAAGGGCAGAGTAAATGACAAAGGCCATCATTTTTTACTTTTAAAACATAAAAAATAATTTATCACTGAAATTCCCTCAGGAAATTATTTCAAGTTATAGACACTCTAGCATTACCTCTTTTTCCAGTCAAAATGATTTGTTTCTAATTATGCAATGTTACAAAGGGCAATGTTTCTTAGGAACACAAGCATAATTAGAATAAAACAAACTGTCATGGCCTAACAATTTCAAAAACACAGTATTAAAAATAAAACAGAGCTAATAAATGAACATGTACTAGTGTACTTTCTCCCCAAATATAATCTATTTTGGACATTTTCCAAAACACAGTATAAACATACTCAGGGACATCATCTTCCCCTTTTGGGAGATTGTTTTCTTCTAACATATGAGATTAATCAAAAAAGAAAACAAAATAATAGTCATAATTTACCAACTCCTTGAAAGGACAAACTCATCAGACAATTTATTTAGACTAAGTGTACACATACCTCTTCCATATACTTCGATTCCTGAATGAAAAACTCCAATTCCAATGGACGAGGTGTATTCATTCATCCAGTACTAAGGGGGCAAAAAAGAGAAAGGATACAGAATAGCTGTTTATTTATGTAACTCAACTCCCTATTATAAGAAGTGGCTACTCCTCAAATTCTCCTCCAACTTAGGCATTTTAAGCCCATTTCTTGGTATTTTTTACTACAACTCTGAAACTTCCATTACAATGACACCTTGGGCCCTATCTCTGACATTTCCACACCCCTTTTGGAATGTACTTTCTTGGTCAAAATGAATGGCTCAATTTAGAATACAAACATACTATCAGAGGCTTAGAGTGTAAGCTATGTAACCTAAATCTGGTCAGATACTGGAAAAATAATTGATTTGAGCTCAAATGTGATGTACAAGGCTTAGAACAAACTTCTTACTCCCTGGAAAGGATAGTTCTTTAAAGAAGGAAGTGGTATTTTCCCCTAGATAGAAAACTTACTTTTTTTGGTGGGGAGAGAGGTGAGGGCAGTACTAGACATAAGGAAAAGAATGTATACAGGCAATGTGATATGAAATCATGGAGAAGACAGAAAGGGGTTAAAAAGATAAGCTGCAGGGAATTAAACCTACAAGGAAGCAAAGTAGACAAGAGATCATTAAACAAAAACATAGGTAACACTAACAGTGCTACAAATCTAGATTTCTCCAAGGTTGCTGTTATTCTTATGTGCCATCAAGTTGGTTTTGACTCATAGTTTGACACTTTACAGGGTTTTCTTTTAGGTTAGCCATCCAGTGCTGATCTTACAGCACACCACACCAGGACTCCAAGGTTAGAGGGTGGATAATTTGTTTTTATTTTTTCAGGTCTAGTCAAGTCTTAACCTTGGTTCCAGATCCCTAGCCAGTTTCTCCACGGTTCAAACAACCTAAGCCTGGAAAAACGCACATTTTTGTGCATAGCTGGAAGATGCATAAATGGCTAAGTCAGATTTTTTTCTAAAGTTTACTAAACTGAGAGAGAAATGTTTAAGCAATAATAAACATGAAATAGTTGAAAAAGAAAGAATTTTCCCATCTTGAAATCAACATATGCATTACAAAATAGTGTACTCTTAGTACAGCATGATTCCACTGCAGGGAGATCAACAAAACAGAATAGAAATCATAGAACACAGCCTTTTATATATAAGAACTGGTGTTATGAGAAAGGGGGTGAGTAAAATTATCAAGTAAAGGGATGACATATCCAGCAAGATGGTAGATTGCACAGACTCACTACACAGACCCTCTACAACAAAGATAGGAAACACAAAATAAAACAGACACGGATGAAAATTCTGACACCATGAACTTTAAAAGAAAGGCAAGTGAGGTGGATGGAGTGTTTGCTTGGAGGATAGGCCGAGCAGAGATGGTAAGTGAGGGAGACTGACTGGTGAACAGCTGACCAGACACGACTCAACCACCTTGTGAGCTGCTTTGGCAGTGGAGGGTAGCCTGGCAGAGTAGACACGCATGGATGATGGGAAAGGTGTGATTTCTTCTTTTTTCTCATGATCCTCTGGGTGACCAGAGGAGGGCCAGCTCCCATCCTCATCCACCCCTAGGGCACACCCTGCCTCCAAGAGTTTGAAGCCACATAGTTGAGAGCCAGTGTGAGCTGGGGGCCAGCTGAGCTGTTTTGGCATGCCGTTTTGGTGCCTGTATTCTGGTGGCTATGGCTCCAGTCACATAAAACCCACAGAGCAACCAGATCAGCATTAGCTTTAAACCACTCACCCTGCCTCCAGCTCTCCTGTGGTCCTAACAGACACTGAAACCTGCTCTCCTCCATCAAGGGCACCCATGAACCACTTGCAGATTGAGTGCAATGAACACAGATTAGCAACAAGGCCAACAGGAACACCATCTAGGACTGATTATGTGCCGTGGAGTCGGTTCCAACTCATAGCGACCCTGTACAGGGTTTCTGAGGCTGTAAATCTTTACAGGAGCAGAAATCCTCATCTTTCTCCCGTGGAACAGCTGGTAGTTTTGAATTGCTGACCTTGACGTTCACAGCCCAATTCATAACCACTATGCTACCAAAGCTCCATCTAGGACTAAGAACTCTGTTATATGCTTTCCACAACTACTTCCTGAGCTACTTGAGCTGCAGGGCACCACCAGAGATTTCTTCCCTCCAGGTTCAACAAAAGCATTGTTTGTTTTGTTTTTAAAAATAGGACAGCCCCACAATGCCCTAGAGAAAACAGATGATTTTAGCTCACAAAGAAACAAGAGAGAGTGGCACAAACAAATGACCAAGATGCAAAGGCAGAAAACATTCCTAAAGAAAAAAAGGCAGTAGACTATCAAAAGAATATTAATAAACCTTCAACTGATTGAATGAAAAGATTGAGGAAAGCAAGGACAACAAAGAAAATACTTTAGAAGAATTCAGGAAAACACTACAAGAAAAAACGGACAAAATAATGCAAATTTTGAAACAATACAAAACATGCAATTAGAAATCCAGAAGAGTAATATTAAGATTTCAGAAATGGATAATACATTGAAACGACAAAGGAGTGGATGTGAAGCAAGGGAAGCCAAAATGAGTGAATCTAAAAATAAATCTCTAAATACTACTATGCTAGAACAATAATGTCCAGAACAGGAAGAGAAAATATAAACCACAGAGAAAATTGTCGCAGAGTAGCTAGAAGAAAGATTCTCTAATATCATGGAAGACTAGCAGATAAGCATCCAAGAAGCTGAACAAACCCCCAAACAGGATTGTTGCTGTTGTTGTTAAATGCTGTGGAGTCGGTTCCAACCCACAGCGACCCTATACAGGGTTTCCGAGGAGCGGCTGGTGAGTTTGAACTGCTGGCCTTAAAACAGGACAGATCCCAAATGCGAATCACCAAGACACATCATAACCAAACTTTCCATAATCAAAAGCAAGGAAAGAATCCTGAGAGCAGTTTGAGAAAAATGAGAAGTTATCTACAAAGGAGAACCAATAAGACTAATCTCTGATTTCTAGCAGAAATCAGGCAGGCAAGAAGGCAATGGGTTGACATATACAAAGGAAAGAAAAAAACTGCCAAGAATCATATATTCAGCAAAACTGTCCCTTAAATAAGATGGCAAAATTAGGACATTTCCTGATAAACAGAAATTAAAGAACTTGTAATGGCCATATCAACTTTATAAAACATGCTAAAGGTACCCTCGGGACTGAGAACCAACAACAGCAGACAACAATCTGAGATTACTATACATGAAGCCACCACCCAGAACTCAATTCAGATATAGAAATATTTAAAGTACAACAGACCAACAAGATTGAAAACAGAGAACCAGAGATATTAACGTACAATGAAGGCATCTGAGATGGAGTGTGAAGTTGCTTTGAATTACAAGGTCAGAGGTTCAAGCTCACCAGCTGCTCCTCGGAAACTCCATAAAGGGTCACTATGTGTCAGAACTGACTTGACGGCACTTACCAACAACAAACAAAGCCCAAAGAGAGAATAGTGTAGAAACAGAACTTCCCAATAAATAACAAGGAAGTCAAGGAGATTTAAAGAGAAAAAATACTGTTTTTAAGCAGG